GCTATAAAGTTATTAAAAAAATACTAACGTACGGAATAAGTTGGAATGATTGTGCAAATTTTCATAGAAGCCTGATTATTAAAGAAAAATCCTTGAACGAGGAAGTTGGTTCCTTTTCGAAAAAATTGTTTGTCAAAATTCTTTTTGTTTTAACAATGTCTTATTTGTAGCCCGAAGACCGCCTGTAAAATCGAATATTTCTAAGGACATTGGATTTTTAGACACTTGACACAAAACGAAACATTCCACAGAAACAAAATCACTGATTGTCCTTTATTTTGACATCTCTAATCTCGAAAAGAGTTAAAGTTTCAGGTAACCGCGTGCAACTATGAAATTTGAAACAAATATTCTTACCGGTAGTAATGCAGACCAAGAAGGACACCGCGGCGATAACTGCTACCATTTTCGTGTTGATTAAAACAAATAGATATGATAACCCAATATATATACCCAAGTCGGGAAGTTATTCAGTAAAAAAAAAAAAAAATATCTGGGGAAAAGTCCCATACGGGCGATAAGAAGAGAAGACGTCTACATGCCTACGAGCAGATGGTTTATCTGAGGGACCAGTGATAATGTTTTATTAGAGCTGATAATCTTGGCCTAATTTTAAGGACAGGCTTTATATATGTCGCATGTGTATTAGCTTCGGGCGACATTTTATCAGATTACGTCAAGGACATCTTTGAGATTGGATTGGGTAATTATGGAACGCTTTGTGGATCTCATTTTTATTATTTAAAACACGATTGCATACGAATATACGGGGTGGTCCGAAAGTCTTGTCACCCCTACCAAAAAGTAATGAGAACAATAAAAGAACAAGTAACACATTAAATACAATGCACGTGTACTGGATTCAGTTTATTCACTTTCATTGACGCTGTCACCCATCGAGAAGGTCTGCATGAAGACCATCATTTTCGTGGCGCAAAATGATGCGGCGCAATATCCTGTGTGATATTTTACGAAACAGTGCTTTGTTGATTGTTGCAAAGGTTCTCTGAACGGCATCCTTCAACTGATTGGCATTCAGCGGTTATCATTCATGTGAAACTCTCTCTTTGATAATACCCCACATAGCGTCGAAATAGAAAATTATATTATGTAGGGATGACAAGACTTTCGGACCACCCTGTAGAACCGCATGTCGCAACACTATAAACATACAATTTCTTAAATAGATCCGGACACACACATACACGCATGTACATACGCATACACACGCACACACACACGCACACACGCAGACGCAGACACACACACACGCACATATATATTGTATTGAATACAGGGGTGAGATTAGAGTTTGGAAAGGTGTTTTGTTGTGATTTCCCTCAATATCTCCTCTCCTCCATCCTGAGTCAGTAACGTCGGTCGCTTGGAAAAAAATTTGTTGCACCAAGAAAGCCTGTCAGTTATCCCGTTACCTAACTGAAGTGGTAAATACTACAGGAGACGAGGGTACTATTTTCTTTTTTAATTTTATTTTTAGAAACCCTGCGTCTGTTTTGTGGCTTCCCTGCGTTGTGTTGATTAGAAACTAGATGTGGATCGCTGACTTACAAGAAAATTGACATGTGATCTTCATACGCTCCTAGCAATAGAACATATATGTATCATCAGCAAAGAACCCGCGATTCACTGGTCGTCAGTAGTGACTGTAGTATTTTGGAGAAGATAGATATATAAATAACTGCCCCAGGAAGACTCTCACACATCAGACGGAGAATGTAGGCTTCGCGTATCGGACAAGAGGTCACTTGCACACTGCAGACTGGCTGAGAGTAACTGATGATATATTGGTGCGAATAAAAAATGTAATAAAGATTCAAATCTCGTGTTATCATTTAATCGGCACCCGCTCTTCATTGCAGTGAGCCTACAAGATATCTCCTAAACATGGTAAGGTTTGGGTACAAAATTACGAAAAGTTTGGCAAGTACAATGATAGACACTTAACAAAAGGCTAGATAGTAGAACAGTAGATTGATTGTTTTTTACAGCTTATCAACTCTTTATAGGTTATTTAAAGTCAGAAAATATTTTTAGATTGTAAGAATTTTCTTTTATCTGGGATATTAATGATTTTAGTTATACAAGTCTTACTATTTAACCCATAGCTGGGAGAAGAAAATGTAGAGTCCCAACTTTTCCAAAGGTATTTGAACGTAAGTGAATATAATGAACCCGACTGGAATTGGAACTCGACTCTCTGAGTCGCTATCAGTTACACCACCCGCGCACCCAAGACTACAACCCCTGGTATTCTCAAGCGGTTACACATCTAGGTGCTAACCAGGATTCACATTGCTTAACTTCGGTGATCGTACCGGAACCAATGTTTCATGGTGATATAGCCGTAACCCATACCACCTTCATATCCAAGCTTACACCACCTGGTATTTCCAAGCGGTCACACACCTAGGTACTGAACAGGCGCCATATTGTTTAACTTCGGTGAACGTACGGGAAGTTTTGTTTCAACATGACATGGCAGTAAGCCTAAGCGATAGAATCGACTAAGATATGTATACAATACATAGAATGATAAAGCATATAATGATAATTCCTCATCTCGAAAATTTTAACAAGGAAGATGTTTATCCAGTATCTGGCATGACTTCGACATCTGTAAATAAGTTTTCATATATAAAGATAATAAACATTGAGACATGCATGAAGGCCACATTTCTGCAGCTTATATTGATAGCTTGCCATTGATAACGTGATCAAAATAAATATTTCTTCTTTCTTATTTCTTCTCTTACGCTCATTCTGTGCGCCGTGTACATTCAGGACGTAGGCGATCATGTTTTTGTACAACTTCTTGCTCGTGTTTTTTGTTGCTATCAGCAGTACTTTCTCCATTATGATCTTTCTCTTTGAGGTTATTTGTTCCGCCATGCAAACCTTTCACGTATGTTATTTCTTCTCTTTCTTTGTGCCGTGCTCATTCAGGACGTCGGCAGTCATGGTTCTCCATAATTTTGTAGCGATCATCATCGCCATCACACACACATACATACATACAGATCATACAGCAAGCATTCATTGGCTAATCTCCTGAAAACTAGCTTGCTGATTGGTCAATTCCGACCAATCAAATAGCCTGAACGCGAGGAATATTTTTCCCGCGCACAATGCTGGGAGCCTGTCACGTGAGACACTACCTTATATAAACAAAACACGAATAAGCCTCTCTCGTTCTCTTCGTTCATCTTTTTCCTTGCTCCCAAGATGTAGTCTTCAAGAGCTCCCGTCTTAACCGTGCGGTCAGACGTTAAAGAACATGGCCAACAACTCTTACCGGCTTTTACACAAGTCGCCAGTAGAGTCCAGCAAATTTCGCCTGTCAACACAAACCTATGACTTTACACACAACATTTCAAACGCACACACAGACACAGATTTTTATAATACATATATACATATCTCTCTGTGACTCATCCAAGTTCATTCAACCAGGACCCTGTTGATTTTTCTAACACAACACACTTTCTGATCAATTGTATTCTTGTGTTACCTATTCTAACAGCAGACTCTATTTAACATAGATTCCTGAACATTCTCTCTCAAGAGAACATCTTTCGAACATTCAATCACAAACCAGAAATACAATAAAAGGGTAGCAACTTTTTTTCCCTTAATGTGTACATTTCATTGCATGTTTGTTTTGTATGTTATATTTTCAATATATACTTGTTGATCCACATTTGGAGTTTCGTTGTTTTTCTTGAATCATTCGATGTACAAAAGATATATGCCCTAAGAACACGCATAACAATATCATATCCTTTGTAGCTCTTAATAACGTTTGTCTTTTTTATCTTTCATAAATCTTGCCCTGCTATCCATTGGTGCGAATAAAAAATGTAATACAGATTCAAATCTCGTGTTATCATTTAATCGACACCCGCTCTTCATTGCAGTGAGCCTACGAGGTATCTCCTAAACATGGTAAACTTTGGGTTCAAAATTACGAAAAGGTTAGCAAGTAAAATGATAGACACTTGGAAAAGGCCGTTCGGCAGATTAATTGATTTGGGTTCTTTAAAGCTTGTCAACCCTTTGTAGGTTATTTAAAGTCAGAAAATGTTTTTAGATTGTAAGAATTTTCTTTTGGGGGGGGGGATAATAATGATTTTAGTGATACAAGTCTTACCATTTAACCCATAGCTGGGAGAAGATGCAGAGTCCTGTCTTTTACAAGGGTATTCAGTCGTGATGCATGGCGTCCATTGCGTTCAGAAATGTCTAATCTATAAACTATAAGTAACCGCTTTCTCAAATTCATCTTTTAGTCGTATGAAATCGCAAAGGACGTTTCGTGCCACACTTGTTAAGTTATGAGTTGTTTTCCTGTGTCCCGCTTACCTTCACTCTGTCTTATGAGTATCAAAATTTTCACGCCTTCTTTCCTCATTATATGTCCTAAAAAATTCAAATGTCTTTTCCTGATATATAAGTATCCTTTTTGTTTTCATTTTCTCTAAAACTTCGTCGTTGCTCACATATTTAGTTCATCGTATTCTCAGCATCCTTCTGTAAAACCACATTTCTATTGCTTCAAATTTCTTCTTCATCTATGATGAGATTGTCTAACATCTACTGTCACATAGAAGGACTATTGTTTTTCTCTGCTTTTCTCTTCGATATGTTATGTTTGATTTGGAGTGTTGAATTCTTCAAGCATTCTTTCCGCATCTTGTGTCCCAAAAGATTTTGTTGTTTCTTTTCCTGTCACTGCAAGTTTATATATATATATATATATATATATATATATATATATATATATATATATATTTGACGAAATGGTCTGGTTTTCTCTGTCATATAAGAATGTAGGGCGTGTATAGTCAGTGGTAGTACCTTTACAGCAACCCGGTCGACCCTGCTTTACTCAGGTGAATTGGGATACAGAATTGGAGTAGGAGCCGCGCCTCAAAAGTTAACGTATTATCAGTGGGCGGGGGAACTTCTAAGAAGAAGAACGTAGTAAACTCAACCTCCCCGGTGCAAAGATATTTCTCTATTTTGCCTTGAATGTCACCATGAACTACAATTACAACAGGAGGAGTGATCAAAGCGACGCAAAATGTGCTAAATTAATAAATGATGATAATAAAAAGTTCGATATCGCATAGAAATCAAACACACTTTCATTATTTTTAATGTTATTTTTGGAAAAGTTGCGCAAGGGATAATTTTGTCTAGTTCTTCAAGATTCTTAAAAGCTAAAATATTAAATATCTAAACTATAAACTGTAAGTAACCACTTTCTCAAATCAATGAGTAAAAAGATTTTAAATTCAACCAACTAGGTTTGTCTGCCAATTTTCTTTTTTATATTTTCTAATAAGTCGTATTAATTTATTAAGCGTAGCTCAGATGCGACACAAGACCGGAAGCATGGAGAACAGTAAGGACCGAACTCACTCGTAAGTGACAAGCGATGAAAAGCCTACTAATTATTACACCACGTCGAAGTTTGTGATAATATTTATTTATTTTTTAATATTTATTAATACTTTTATTAATTTATGTCAACTTTTGTACTTTGATTTAAAATGAATCTTTTTTTTAAAAAAAAAAACAAAACAAAAAAAAGCCCCCAAACGTTTGTTTTCGTATGCAGAACAACTATGTCCAATAACTTTGTAAAAATATTTTGCACTAGTCTACTTAATAGTAGACTAGTCCAAAAAATATCATTTCAAAGTTTAACAGGTATTGTTTAATCCAAGGGATGTAATTCAAGTTATCTCCCTTAGATTAAGTCATCTTAAACAATGATCAAATTGAGTTACTCCATGTTTAGCAGATTTACTCGAAAATGTTTTATGTGGTCTTTAAAAGTTACTTGACACTTTATTTACTTGTTTTTTTTTATTATTTCCTCAGCTAGAGTATTTGCATTCCCAGACAATTATAGGATGGAAAAAAAAGGTCACGTGTTAAGCGAATCTGTAGAGATTCTTGTATTTTTTAGTAAGGTCTTTCTTTGCGTAGTTGTTCAATGTCTACAACTTTAACTTCATTCTGTACAAGTTCTGATCAGCAAAGTTTAATAGCAGTTTCTTCTGGCTTTTTTTGTGTTAATCATGATTCCGATTGTTCAACATGAAGACCATCGGTTGAAAATATTTGGAATAATGAAAATCTTAGTCTCAATTTCTGGGATGAAGGGGTATCATTATTTACATTATTAGTAATTATTATTAGTCGAACTAATGGCCTTCTATTTATTATTATTATTATATTTGTTATCATCACAACGTTTCGATTGTTGTGCCCTCCAGTTTTCTTCAGGTGTCCGGCGATCCGAGTTACAATCGAGAATTCCGAACTTGAACCTTTTATTTAATCTTGTCTTGTTTTTAGTGGTGGGGGGTTATACTGCTCAGTTATTACTCATCCTGTTTTCCATTGTATGTAAGTCAGTACTACTCGATCCAGGGAATGAACTCTCAATTCCTATAACACCAAATTCACGAAACAATCCTTTAAATACATTAAATCACGAGCAGTACTAGAAAAATAAGAGACGAGGTATGCGTAGACATAGGGAAATTAGAACAATCTACCTCCGTATATTAAATAAAGGCTTCGGCTTGAGATTACATGCAGGTTATCTGGGCCGACAAACACCTGAATAAGACCAGACGATAATAACAACAAAGATGAGTACATTAGTCCGACTGTAAATAATATAAGGAATATAATGTCCATTTTATCAACTGATTGGCAAGATTAAACTGTTAGAAACATATTTCGATAAATATCACGTGGTAAAAGTATCAAGTATCAAAGTATGCTTTCTTATTTAAGATTGGTAAAATTCTTAATGAACATATTTTACATTTTCTTTTCGATGAGAATAATTTTAGTTATTTTTAAATGAATAGTTTATGTGGTATATGTACATATTTACTTGCAGAACCTTTCATTAAATGGCTTAACATATTGACAGTAATATCACCATATATTGGTGATATGAATTTCTGTTTAGGTTGTGTCTCCATATGCTAGTCACTGTTTTCATTTTAAGTCCCTTGCAGACACTTTACTTTAATTTCTATATAAAATAATGTCTGTGGCTTCCTGTGAAATTTTGGGAAATGGACACGGCTCTCTGCTTCTCGTCAAGCAACTCAGTTCCTTGGAACCGACAGCCCGACAATAGCACATGGGATTTGTTTATAGTGGTGAAGGTTTTGTGCCGAACCATCCACACTTTTTGAAGGGCTGAATATAGAGACCTGGTGCACTATGTGCCACGCGGTCCCTAAATGACCCTCCTTCTCCTAGACTATGTAGCTGGAAGGAGAAGAAGAAGATTCATACCTGGAATTCGAACTCGGATCTCCGATTCCTTAATCCAAGCCGCTATCTATCTATCTATCTATCTATCTATATATATATATATATATATATATATATATATATATATATATATATATATATTATATATATTTCAGCGAAATTTTTTTTTTT